CCGCACCATGTTTAATGTTGGTAAATCATTGCATCAACATTCACGTCAAACAAAACCAGCGATCTTCTCTTAAGTTAACGGTAGACTACTTTTGTGTTGAGCTACATCATCATCACCGTACAGAGAAATGCATGTACGTAGGAGTTTCCTCGCTTTTCTTTATGCCATCTGTGCTGATGACAAGTATCTGATACCTTGAATTTTGTTGATGATCTCTCTCGTTGGATGTTAAATGTAATCTTGTTTCTTTATGCAACCGAAATGCAGGTTACTTTCAAAGATGGTCTGCGTGGATTGTTGTGTCTGATTCATCGGCATCCGGCATTGGCCACTCAGCTGATGACCCAGCTTTGGCCTCAACTCTGGAACCGACTGCTACTACGACAGTCAGAAACTGGGCTAGATCTTGCAGAGGGCCATAGCATGTCGGTCTCAGTGTCTGCCGCATCCGATAGACCTAAATCTTCTGAACGTGATCCGGAAGAGGTGTCTCGAACACCGACGACAGTCGCACCTGCTGGTCCAGAGGCTGTATCCGGGGCGGATGGCATGGGGGGTGGTAGTGGAAATAACAGCTCTGTGGGATCAACCAACCTCTCTGTGAGCGAAATTCGTGGCTTTGTGTTACCACAACTATGGCGCTTTCTAACCTCTGATCAGCACGTAAATCCATCCGAACCGCAACCAAGCGCTCTGGGTGCGTTTCTATCTTCTCTGGCTACCACCTCAGACACTGCGCTCATTCATATCCCCCTGCCTGCTATCACTGTAAGTGCATGTCTCCTTTTCAAACAGCAAGTCTATAATGCTACAGTGGTGTCATCGATAAAATATAAATCTGAATAGTTGATACTACAGGCAGTGTATCAGCTTACCTAATGAGATTATTGACTACAAATTCCTTCTTGATTAGAATGTTTGAAGAAATAGTTTAATGATAACCGTTGTAATCATCGCACTCATCCGGTATAATCGATATCCATTGCGGCAATGTATTTCTATAACATTGTAGCTTTGTTTGTGAATTTACCGCGGTGCGAAGAATAAAACCAAGCACAGCATAAAATCAATCCAGTCAGTCCTACCACATTATGACACAAATAATCAGTTATTCTAATAGTCACCACAAATTGGATATCGGTTTGCAGTGGTTTAGTCGCTGTCACCGTCGTGGTTTCAACCCTATGGTCCGAGGTTCGAGCCGCGCAGCTGCCATCCGACTTTGATGGTAGGTAGTCTCGGTGTCATCCGATCCAATACCACGCCTTACCTAGCAGGGCCTTATGTGGTTCACCACTCCGGGACTTAGGTTACCGGCATCCATCACAGAATATCAGGTCTACACCATTATAGGGTTCACCCTGTTCGCTGTTAATCACACTCAAAAAGTGTGTGTAATAATTGAAAAACAACTTAAATTGAAAACTTGTTTTTTTATTACACGTACTACCGTGTGATGAACAGCAGAAGGGGTAATCCACATAGTCACTAGACCTACTGGTCATTCAGATAAACCGGAAAGCCCCAATGCTTGGGTTAGAGAATTTGCATAAAGCCCCAACAGCATTTTTGACACTTTGTTTGATCTGGTATAAGATCAAATATTGTGCTATGCAACATTCATTTGCTATGTTTTAGCTCTTCAAATTCTAATTTGTTATTGATCATCTTTGTTTTTTTTTACTAAAATCCAGACCTATACTGTTTATTTCAGTACATCGGCACGTCATACAACCAATGGCACACTGTTGCCTTGTTCCTCGAGGGCCTCTGCTCTCGTGCTCGAAAACTGGGTTTAGAAACAACTGGTTCACCGAATGACTTTGTGTACAATGTCAGTTTGCCCGGGCCCGAATCGGATAGCAATGGATCTCTGGTGATCGCACCTGTCCAGCCGTCAGAGGTACCTGCTGGTTCGGCCAATCTCTCCCTAATCGCATTATACGATAACATGAACGAACCAGACTACCTGGCATCTGCTTGGTGGTATCGTCTTACCCCAGCAGGTCGACCGCAAGGTACTCACCGACAGACTGGAATGCTCAAATGTTTGGAGTACGCGCAGCACGGTTTATTGCTACGGTCACTCGAATGCTCTTTGGATCAGCTGGCTACAACGACCCTAGGGGGTGCTGGTGCGCTCGGCAGCTCGCTCGATTCTGGAGGCACTGCGAGCGCCGCTGGAGCTGTTGTTGGCGGTGGTTCAGCTTCATCCAATCGAGCAGCATCTGTTGCCGCTTCCACGGCATCTGCCGTGGCCCGGTCTCAAAGCGCTTCTCCGCTCACACTGGCTGGTGCAAGCGCTCAATTTAGCGAATATGTTAATCGAGCAAGACTCCAAGATTACTGTATCCGGTGAGACCTGACTACTTTCAGTAACGTCTACTGAATTTTCATGACTACTCTCTGTCAGTTTGTGTGTTCATGCTCAATTTGTGCTGGACGGTCTTCATCGAACTGTTTATAGTGAAAGTTTTATCCATGGAATCTTACGAGTATTTTTTAGATTCCTTAGCATGTTTTTCTTCTAATGGTTATTTTCTTGTGTTTGACTCTCCCTGCATTCGCGTTATATTTTGTTCCAAAACATATAACAAATTCTGATGTGCTTACCTTCGCTTTCGTTCTTTCCTCACTCACATCTCTCTTTGTCTTTTCTCCCTTTGTGCACCAGTTTCCTAAAACAGCTTGGACAATGGGACAGTTTAGAAACGCTGGCTTCTAACATGCAAACCGGCTCGTGTATGTCCAATCCTTTCGGTACCTGTGGCCCCAATTCATGCAGCCCAAACGCCACAGGTTCGGCCACAGGCCCAGGCACATTGGGCAGTGGCGGTGGTTCCGCCTACTGGGGTCTAAAAGCGGATGCGGCGTGGCGACGAAGTGATTGGCCTGAGGTTTATGCCAGCCTTTCCCGGGTACGTCGTTCGGTTTCACGATTTCTCAATATTTTCTTTCTTAATCACTTGTACGAAGGTGAGTAATCGTTTACGAATGATGCATAATCGAGCCTGTACATATCATACACGGCTTTGTTGATAGTGGGAACACTTTCACGCTGGGTCGAAAGGTCATTCGGAATGGGGAAAAGGGAGGGATATGGTGAGCCTTGTGTCTATATTAGGGTGAGATCGGTTGTGA